TAGAAGGTATCTACGAACAACGCTGGCTCTTCGGCTTAGACATGGTGATCATAGAATCATAGAATCAAAGAGTTGGAAGAGACCTCATGGGCCATCCAGTCCAACCCCCTGCCAAGAAGCAGGAATATTGCATTCAAATCACCCCTGACAGATGGCCATCCAGCCTCTGTTTAAAAGCTTCCAAAGAAGGAGCCTCCACCACACTCCGGGGCAGAGAGTTCCACTGCTGAACAGCTCTCACAGTCAGGAAGTTCTTCCTCATGATGAGCACCACCCCGCAGAGTCGGACATAACTAGACTTAACGTCAAGGAGAAACCATTGCCATTACCTTTATGTTATCCAAAGCTAAAAGATATATACTTTTGTCTGGAGTAACACTTCGAAAATGTACCTGCTCCGACTTACATACAAATTCAACTTAAGAACATGCCTAGACAACCTATCTTGTTCGTAACTTGGGGGCTGCCTGCATGTTTGTATTTTAGATTACGTTGGTGGATAGGAAAAAGTGATTTAAAGATGGGCTTAAAGTCAACCTTAAAAATTGTGGCATAGACACAGAGAACTGGGAAGCCCTGGCACTTGAGTGCTCTAACTGGAGGTCAGCTGTGACCAGCAGTGCTGCAGAATTTGAAGAGGCACAAATGGAGGGTGAAAGAGGGAAATGTGCCAAGAGGAAGGCATGTCAAGCCAACCCTGATCAGGACCACCTTCCACCTTGGAAACCGACATCCTCACTGTGGGAGAACATGCGGATGAAGAATAAGGCTCCACGACCACCTATGGGCCCATTGCCAAGACACTACACTTGGAGGACAATCATCCTCAGGCTACGAGGGATCCCCTAAGTAAGTAAGTAAGTATGTTGGCGAGAGAAATTATGTAGTTATGCAACTATTAAAGTATGTTTATGTATGTATATGTTTTGTTTTATGGGTAAGTGAAAAAATGGGGGGAAGGCGGTGGGATAAACAATGGACACACTTTCCTTACCCCCCATCTAATGCCTGGATAAACTTACTATACATTACATAGTACCTATGGAGCATGAAAATCAACTCTGAAAGGTCAGTTAGGAAAGAAAGGAAGTTTTGGGGTTGTTTTCCTTTCCTTCCTTCAGGGCTCACCTTGACTCAGCTAGCATTTCATCCTGGGGCAAAGGTGGTGTGGCTATACTTAAGCGTGAGTCACTGGTTTTGCATGACTCTCTCAGGGAAATACTTGTATTTCAAGTGCCCAAGCCCTTGGAGAGATGCAAGAGATGAGTTCTGCATTCCTCACTTGCTACAACATTTAACTGCTGATATTTTATTTTCTTGTGAGCAGTTCTGTGGCAGCTGGCTATTAATAGCAGCAATATCTCTAAGACATTGGTTGTAAAGGGAGGAATTTGCTACAAAAGGCTTCCCCCAAAAAGGTTTCTCCTGCAAGATGCCCTCTTTCAATCATCCTCTATACATGTTCATTTATAGTTTGGGGTGGAGTTGCTCACTTATTAATCCTGTCCCAAATTTCTTCAATGACATTTTTATTGTAAAGGAATATAGCTGATCTCAAAGGTGCTGCAAGATCCCTTTGGTTAGTGATATTGTGTCTCTGTGTCTCTGAATCGTTCACTGACTTGCCAGACATAATTTTGAAAAATGCAGGACCCTAAAAAGCCAACAACTCTCTGAGACAGTGTATGGCTAGATCAGGCATGGGCAAACTTTGGCCCTCCAGGTGTTCTGGACTATAACACTCACAATTCCTAACAGCCTAATGACTGTTGTCAAAGGCATTCATGGCCAGAATCACTGGGTTGTTGTAGGTTTTTCAGGCTGTATGGCCATGTTCGAGAAGTATTCCCTCCTCAAGTTTCGCCTGCATCTGTGGCAGGCAGCCTCAGAGGTAGTGAGGTCTGTTGGAAACTAGGAGAATTGGGTTTATATATCTGTGGAGTGTCCAGGGTGGGAGAAAGAACTCTTGTCTGTTGGAGACAAGTGTGAATGCCTCAATTGGGATAGGCTTCTATTCTGCTAGATGGCTCAGGATTGCAGAGTCAGAACTTTAGGTCCAAAAATATTTATTGAATTAAAAAAATATATACATTCCTGATAGAAAAGGTCTTGGAGCTAACTAGTTTGCGAAGTCTCATCTTCTAAAGGAGTTAAAAGGTACAAAGTCCATGCAGCTACATTTTGCCTAGAAAGAGGTAAAATGCATCCTTACTGGAAGGAAGAAAAGGCAGAAGAGCCCGAAAAATGCTGGAGAGACTGCATGGTCAACCCAGGGCAATGAAACCTAAAGAGGAAGTTCCCTCGCAGAATTCCATTACTACATCATCAAAGAGGGAAGAGACAGTGACAAGAAGGAAGAGTAAAGACAAAGCCATTTTGGGGAAAACATGCATTGGAATGTGGGGGGAGGAATCCCTCAGCCTGGCCCTATCTCAAGGCTAGCTACTCAGGGAATCCTTTGAATCCTTTGAACCGCCCCATCCATCCTAACATTTAGGAAACGGGTGAAGACGTGGCTGTGGAGTCACGTCTTCGATGAATGAGGACCCTGGATGGAAGTTGATGTAGTTCCATCTTAATAGGACGACTGACCACTGTAGTTTTATATATAGTGTTTTTAAAGTTGTTTTTGTAATTGTGATATATGATATTTTAATGAGTGTATATGTTTTTATGGCTGGAAACCGGGCTGAGTCCCTCAATGAGGTTGAGAAGCTCGGTATAGAAAACTGTGAAATAAATAATAAATAAATAATCTGGGACAGCTAATCACATCTCAACAAAGGATTCCCCTAGGTAGTAACAAGCCACGCCAAAAAACTGTCAGGCCATCAAATGCTAATCAAGGTGGCCAATTGAAACGTTCACACCTAGCTCCAACAGACAAGCGTTCTTTCTCCCACCCTGGATTTTCCACCGATATATAAACCCAATTTTCCTAATTTCCAACAGACCTCACAACATCTGAGGATGCCTGCCGCAGATGCAGGCGAAAGTTCAGAAGAGAATACCTCTAGAACATGGCCATACAACCTGAAAAATCTACAACAATCCAGCCTACCGGCTGTTAGTAATTATGGAAGTTGAAATACAAAATACCTGAAGGGCCCAAGTTTGCCCATGCCCGGGCTAGATAGATATTAATAGGATAAACCGATCTAAAAATATACTAATTAAAAGCCCAAAGTTATAATCTGATTCCTAGAACCTGTAGGGAGCAGGTGTGAAGCACTCTCACTTTACAGATTAAACCTCCGGTCTTTGCCACAACGAGATCAAGCTATTCACAACAAGCAACAGCCTTTCCCTGGAGAAGGGCTGCAGATGTGAGATAAAGCACATCCTCTCTGTGTAAAAGCTTCCAAAGTCAATCTATAAGTTCCCCAGTAAAGTTCCCCAGTCTGGGAGAAAGATTTCTGTCTGCAAAAAACTGGTACTACAGTAGAGTCTCGCTGATCCAATCTTCGCTCATCCAATGTTCTGTATTATCCAACTCAGTCCAGGGTGGGAGAAAGAAAGAAAGAAAGAACCCTTGTCTGTTTTGATGCTAAATTCGTAAATACAGTAATTACTACGTAATGTTACCATGTATTGAACTGCTTTTTTCTGTCAATTCGTTGTAAAACATGATGTTTTGGTGCTTAATTTGTAAAATCATAACGTCATTTGACGTTTAATGGACTTTTCCTTAATCCCTCCTGCTTACCCACATTTATGTTGGATAAGCGAGACTCTACTATAACTGATATATTTAGTGATAACAACAAACAACAACACTTATTCAGTCCTCCATAGCATTTCTGACATATGTTCTATTCCATTAAATCAGGGGAGATGCATTATTCCCAAAGAAAACCTTAGAGGATGCTACCTCTGAGGATGCTTGCCATAGATGCAGGCGAAACGTCAGGAGATAATGCCTCTAGACCATGGCCAAAAAACCTACAACAACCCAAACCTTAGAGGTCCAAATCTACTGCTGTAAAATAAAATAAGACTGCTGCCCCCCCATTTATTTATTTATTTACATATTTATATCCCACCCTTCTTACTCCAAAGGGGACACAGAGTGGCCTTACAATAGGCAACAATTTGATGAAATAAAACATTAAACAGACATATAGTAGAATGAACAGATATATTAAAACCCAAAACATTAAAACCAATTATTAGCAAGAACCACATAATCTGATATCTTAATCAAAAAGCCGTTCCAGTCACGATTGCACATATTCCATCTTCCCTTATTGCACTGCATTGCTATCCAAAGGCTTGGTCCCACAGCCATGTCTTCATTTTCTTTTTGAAGGTTAGGAGGGAGGGAGTAGATCTAATTTTTCTGGGGATGGAGTTCCATAGCCAAGGAACCACCACCGGGAAAGCGCTGTCCCTCATCCCCACCAACCACACCTATGAAGGAGGTGGAACCAAGAGCAGGATCTCCTCAGAAGATCTTAACCTCTGAGATGGTTCATAGGGTAACATGGAGGCATTTCCACCTGGTTTTGCGTTTCAAGAAAAGAGCTCCTCTGGGCCTAAACTGACCCAGAAAAGACAAATTGTGATGGAAATGCACGCCACTTTCCCAGCTGACATTTTGCAACTATTTTGGCCAGTATAACCTAAGACTTGGAAAAGTTTGAGTTTTGGACTACGGCCATTAGAATCTCTCAGCCAACATAGCTTTAAACATGAAAACCCTAAAAAAATCTCCTTTGCCACAAGTTTTTATAACCAAACATTGCAATGAAACTAATGATAATAGGCTTAGCTTTAATTCAACCCAGTCTATCTGATATGAGATTCCACTATAACAAGCTCAAGATCTTCACAAAATTAGCATATTTCTTTGTATAAGGTATGTCTATTTGCCTTAAACTTTAAGAGGACCCATCCTCCCAATGTACATCTCCAATCCTTTCTCAGCAAAGTAAAGGGGGAAAATGCAATCACAAGAATGAAGGCCAAATACATACAATGCAGCCACGCTAGCTACTTACCCCATTTAAGCTTCCCAGATCCTTCACCCAATGCTCATCTTTCTCCTTGTCGTAGTTGATAACAGCATGCTGCTTATCCACGCTGCGAGACTAGGGACAAATGCAAAATTAAATATGAGGCTTGCAAGACATGAAATGGTGTCAACAGGTGCAACAATGAAAACATTGGGGGTGTAAAAGACTCCTGAAGCAGGGAGGAGTGCTACCCATTAGCCGAATGAGCCATCAGGAACCTCGTTGCAGCCTCCAAAGCTTCCCAGCAGAATTCTCAGCTCCAAATATTGAAAAAGCGCCATAAAGTATAGTGGCTGTGTCCCTTTGCCACTGACATCTCCCCCCAAAAAACCATGGAAAATGTGATGTGATGTAATACCAGGAATACTCCATGTGGGCACATAAAGGGTCTGGCCACTCTCTCATAGTTGCCCTTTAGGATGGATACAGGACCTCCTGTACCATTTTAAATACCTATTTTATTTATCACAACTAATGAGTAAATGCAATCTGGCCACAAGTACCCAATGCATCAAACACCAACACTTTATTCTATGTGTACTAAATCTGTACCCCATCTTGATACTTATTCTTATATGTCTAGACACAGATTTACTACTTCAGTTGTTTGCCATCACCTGACAACCTTCAAAAGGAAAATCCATGTGTAAAGTTATTTACCCAGATATACTCGAGTATAAGCTGACCTGAATATAAGTCCAGGTACCTATTTTTACCAGAAAAAACTTGGAAAACATATTGACTCGAGTATAAGCCGAGAGTGGGAAATGCAGCAGCTACTGGTAAGTTTCAAAATAAAAATAAATACCAATAAAATTACATTAATTGAGGCAACAGTGGATTAAATGTTTTTGAATATTTACGTAGAACTGTAATTTAAGATAAGACTGTCAGACTCTGATTATTTTATTTTATTTTATTTTATTTACAGCATTTTTACCCCGCCCTTCTCAACTCCCGAGGGGGGACTCAGAGCGGCTAAATTAAAACATTATTCTAACCCTCTTCGAAGTAAATGTGCTTACATATCCTTCTAATAATGAACAGAGTAAAACAATACATGTAATAATAATAGAATAAAATAATGTAAACGTAATAATAATAATAGAGCAAAAATGTAATAAAAATAATAATAGCAGAGTAAAATAATAAATAACCTTGATCCGAGGTTATTCAGAGTAAAAAAACGCTGAAAAACTTGGCTTATACTCAAATATATACGGTAGTTTCAAGTCTTCTTTGCTCTCAGCCAAGAAAGTATTCAGAGAACCTTGATATTGGAGGCATTGTGGGATATCTCCACATGAAAACTCTGTTATAAAATACATTTCATTTCTTAATGAATAACCCACCGAACCCTAACAAACATGGTTCCCCCCACCCTTTATCTGTGCATTTTATTTCTTTGGCTTACATATAGAAAGTTACATTTATTTTTGTTGAAATTCATGCTGTTACTTTTGGCCCAGTTTTCTAATCTGTTAAAGTCATTTTGGATTATAACCCTGTCCTCTGGGGTATTAACTATCCCTACCAATTTGGTGTTATCTGCAAATCTGATAAGCATGCCCTCTCTACTAATAGTAGTATTGTCTAGTCCACATTTTACTAGCTCTTTGTGAGAAAATCAAGATATGCTACATCCACAGCATTCCTTTAATCTACCAAACTTGTAACTCTGGCACAACTTGTTTTTAGTGCCTTAGGTTGACTTTTAGAAATCACAGTATAGTGCTTACAGATTGTCTGTTTAATGATCTAGAATTTTTCCTGGTATCGATGTCAAACTGACTGGGTGGCAACTGTTGGGTGCTCTTTTTTCCCCTTTTTGAAAATGGGGGCAACATTTGCCCTCCTCCAGTCTGCTACAACTTCTTCCATTGTCCAGGAATTTCCGAAGATGGTTGCCAGTGGCTCTGAAATGACTTCTGAAAGTTATTTTTAATACCCATGGATTTAATTCATCTGGCCATTGAATTCATTCAGAATACCCAGATATTCATGTGCTGTCTATTTACCTATTCTGTGCTGGATTTCCCTTTACCGCATCATCTGCTCCATTTTCCCCGAGTTGAGGACTGCTTTGCTTTTGGGAGAGGGCTAACAACCTCATCACAAAGGGCTAAAATTAGCAGCAAGCATGCAATAATAAATAATAATAAATGCAATAATAACAAAACATAGAGTAAAATAATAAATGTAATAATAATAGAGTAAAATAATAAATGTGATAAAATAATAGAGTAAAATAATGTAAAGGCAATAATGTCAATAATAATAGAGTAAAATAATCTTATATAAATAAAAATGTAATGTTCGTTTGTGGGATTCACATAACTCAAAAACCACTGGGCGGATTGAGACCAAATTTGGACAGCATACACCTAACATCCCAATGTATGTCCTTCACTCATAAAAACACAGAAAACCACAGAAGAGACTTAAAAAGCCAAAAACAAAAAAAGATTACAACGCATGTGCAAAACCACATATATATACACAAATACACATATATACACACATATATGCATATACACACACAAAACATACACAGAAAGGAGGAAGGAAGGAAGGACGGAAGGAGTGAAGGAAGGAAAGAAAGAAGGATAGAGAAGCAAGGAGGGACAGAAAGAGGGAAGGAGAGAAGGAAGGAAAGAAAGAAGGATAGAGAAGGAAGGAGAGAAGGAGGGAAAGAAGGAGGGAAAGAAGGAGGGAAGGAGATAAAGAAGGAAAGAAAGAAGGGTAGAGAAGGAAGGAAGGAGAGAAGGAGGGAGATAATGAAATAAAGTGAAAGAGGGAAGGAAGGAGAGAAGGAATGAAAGAGAGAAAGAGGGAGGGAAGGAAAGAGACAAGGAAGGATGGAACCAAAAAACAAAGGAAGAAAGAAAAGAAACAGGTAGAGAAGGAAGAAAGAAGAAGGAAAAGCAGAAGGGAAAGAAAAAGAGGGAAGGAAGGAAATAAAGAAGGAGAGAAAGAGGGAGGGAAAGTTGGCCACAGCAACGCGTGGTGGGTACAGCTAGTAAATGTAATAAAATAGTAGAGTAAAATAATGTAAATGTAATAATATCAATAATAATAAAGTAATCAATGTAATAATAATAATAATAGAGTAAAATAATCAATGTAATAAAAATAATAGAGTAATAAAATAAATATAATAAAAATAATACTAATAACAGAGTAAAATAATAAATAACCTTAGCTCGAGTATAAGCCGAGGGGAGCTTTTTCAGCCTAAAAAAGGGGCTGAAAAACTAGGCTTATACTCGAGTATATACAGTATTTGAAATTGAACATTAAATCACACTCAGGGCCCTTCCAGACACGCCCTATTTCCCAGGATCTGATCCCAGGTTTTCTATTTATCCCAGATTATCTGGAAGTGTGAACTCATATAATCCAGTTTAAAGCAGAAAATCTGGGATCGGATACTGGGATATAGGGCCTGTCTGGAAGGGCCCTCTGTTATTCCCGAAGTTTGATGAAACCAGCCTATTTAAGTCTAGAATATATGTCTTCCTATGATTGGCTTTCCACTGTATAACAAACTCCAGGATAACATGGTCACTCCCAGCTAAGGATCCCACCACTTCCACTCCATTCGCCACGTTATCACTGCTGTTAAGATCTAAAACAATCTTTCCCCTTTTGCCTTCTGGACAATAAAATTGTCTGCAAGGCAACTCACAAATTAACATGTGGAATACATGACTGGACTGCATATGTGGAACAGATATTCAAGTATAATTGCACATGCTTACACAAAACAGCTTGTATTATGGCTGCAGCCTGTTCATTAGCTACACACTTAGCCATCTGTGACAAGTAAACATTGCCTTTGGGCACCCCAAGAGGTCATGTGAAAGAGAGACAAATCCACTTTGTGCTGCTTGGTGGTTATCTCAGTGCCCTGCATTTGAGAAAATGTGGTACACCAATGTGGCAATGATGAGACACTACGGCAACTAGTTTAGAAAGACCTGAGTGAACCTATCTTCCTTACTTACATCATTATAGCTGAGGAGGCAAAGAGTGAGCATGGTTGGACACTTGCCATTACCTGCCCCACCCCAAACCAATTCTGAAGTCATTTGAATTCTTCAGGCAGTGCTTAATTAATGTAAGTGTTGCCACAGGTTTTAGGGAAGTCATGTGTAGTACAGCTCCCAGAAATCTCAGAAGCCATGCCGAGTCTAACAGCAGCCACTGCTCCTTGCTGATCCTCACATGGGGCAGGGACAGCATATATTAAAGTAATTGCATCCTAACTTCTTGAAAGGTCTCTAAGGCAGTTGACAAATCTAAAATCCAAATGCTCTTTAAGTATAAACCAGGACACTATGCAAACAAAAGCAGAAATTAACTCACCTATCAAGTGGCATTGTGTAAAATGGTTAATGCAACTGCTTAATTCAGTTGCTCTCGTAGCATATTAATTTCTCCTACCCACAAACTGGAATCATTTCTTTTTTTCAGACTGCAACTCCCAGAATCCCATTACTATCATGTTGGCTTGTAGATTCTAGAACAGCGTTTCTCAACCCGGGGATCGTGAGGGGGGTGTCAGAGGGGTGACCAAAGACCATCAGAAAATACTTATTTCTGATGGTCTTAGCAACACAGTGCTCTCCGAAGGTAGGTGAACTACATCTCCCCTAAATCACTGTCAATTCCACCCAAATCTCTCCAGTATTTTCTTTGGTCATGTGGGTTCTGTGAGAAGTTTGGCCCAATTCTATCACTGGAGGGGTTCAAGGGGATCTCTGATTGTAGGTGAACTATAAATCCCAGCAACTGCAACTCCCAAATGCCAAGGTCTATTTTCCCCAAACTTTACCAGTGTTCATATTGAGTATTTGTGACAAGCTTGCTCCAGATCTCTCATTTTTTGAGTCCACAGTGCTCTCTGGATGAAGGTGAACTGCAACTCCAGAACTCAAGGTCAATGCCCACCAAGCATTTCCAGTATTTTCTGTTGGGCATGGGAGTTCTATGTACCAAGCTTGGTTCAATTCCATTGTTGGTAGAGTTCAGAATGCTCTTTGATTGTAGGTGAACTATAAATCCCAGCAACTGCAACTTCCAAATGACAAAATCAATCCCCCCCGCCCCCAACCCCACCAGTATACAAATTTGGGCATATCGGGTATTTGTGCCAAATTTGGTCCAGTGAATATATCCTGCATGTCAGATATTTCCATTACAATTCAAAATAGTAGCAAAATTAGAGTTATGAAGTAGCAACGAAAATAATGTTATGGTTGGGCATCACCACAACATGAGGAACTGTATTAAGGGGTTGCGGCATTAGGAAGGTTGAGAAACACTGTTCTAGAAGCTGGAATCTGAAAACGTGACTTTCCAAACTCTAGTCCCAACATATATTTTGATGATCACAATGCTGAATTAACCAGTTTGCCAATAAAAGACATGCGTGTCATGCAATCCTGCGTAGATCGATTTATTCAGGACTAAGTCCAACTGTATCCAGTGAGGCCGTACCCTAAACTTCCCAAATACACTTGCGGTGGAATTCTTATTCCCTTCCATAAAGTTCCTCTTTGGCAATGGCACCTATGACTAATGCTGGATATTCTGGCATGAACTGGAATGCTTGGAGCATTGATTGGACATGTGTGAACTCCGCAAGTCTGGGAGCATTTCCAAATCTAAATACAGCACTCAAAGCAGACGCTCCATTGGATTTCTGGCAAACAAAGGATGGCAGGATTTAGCCCGCAACAGGCTCCAAGCATCCAGCCTGAATTTCCAAAATGAGGTGTAAAAATAAAACCTCCATTTCCCACCAAACACCCAAACCGCCACCTGAACTTCAGCATTAACCACTTCTTAATCCTTACAAGTATTTTGAGTATTTCTAAACCACGAAGGAAGCACAGAAGGCTTCTGTAGTGATTAAGCCCCCCCCCCCCAGTGTTAAAACAGTTTCAAATGTCTATGTTTTAGGCTATGTCCTTCTTCTGCTTTGTACTATCTATAGCAAATGATCTGGATAGTGCAAGAAGTCAAAGTCAAAGAGGATTGCATATGGGACATGTAATAAAAGACTGTATACAAGCATACAAAAAGGGGCTAAAAGAAGACTAATTTGAAGGTTTGCTTCCCTGAACTGAACAGGGGTGACAATGTCAAATGAATAAGTGCTGGATCTATTCCTAGACTAGTTTTCAATATAGGTTGAACATTCCTTATCTGGAATTCCAAAATCCAAAAGAATCCAAAATCCACATTTGTCCACATTGGTGACCTAGATAGTGATATCTTTCATAGAGTCATAGAGTTGCAAGAGACCTCATGGGCCATCCAGTCCAACCCCCTGCCAAGAAGCAGGAAAATCGCAATCAAAGCACCCCCAACAGATAGACATTCAGCCTCTATTTAAAAACCTCCAAAGAAGGAGCCTCCACCACACTCCTGGGCAGAGAGTTCCACTGCTGAACAGCTCTCACAGTCAGCAAGTTCTTCCTTATTATTATTATTATTATTACATTTACATTATTTTTCTTTATTATTATTACATTTACTGTTTCATTCTATTTATTATTGTTATTACTACATGTATTATTTTACTCCATTATTATTACATTTATTATTTTATTCTATTATTATTGTTATTATTATTTACACAAAAGCACAGTATGTCACAGCAAACAAGATCTATATGCTGGATTTCGTATCACAAAATCACAAGTCGAACACTTCCCAAGTGTCTAGGACTGTGTGATGTATTTTCGAATGATGCACGCAGATCCAAGTAAGGTGGCCTTTTGCAGTTGACAGATTGTGATTTTGTCGATGTTTATTGTTTAGAAATGCCAGCTGAGATCTTTTGGCACGGCACCTAGTGCGCCGATGACCACTGGGACCACCTGTGCTGCTTTATGCCAGAGCCTTTGCAGTTCGATTTTGAGGTCTTGATAGCGGCTGAGTTTTTCCTGTTGTTTTTCCTCAATGTGACTGTCACTTGGAATGGTGACATCAATAATCCAGACCTTTTATGATAGCTTCAGTTTAGTCACATCAGCTTCTAGTGTGCTAGAACCCATGCATTTGTCTTTTAGCAACTCTTCTCCAGCAAGACACAATGCAACAGCGTATTGTACTATTCAGTATTGGTATTACTCTTTCACATCTTATTCCATCTTTTTGTCATATGATCCTGGTTTCTCAGGGCTATGCCAACAGAGCAGAAGGTCTAGCAGATTCAACAGAACTGGTAAGACTTTGAGTACAGTCTCAGAAGTAGGCAGGAAGGCTCTTGGCTGTAGATCACCTTCACTAACCATAGAAAGAGATTGATCAACAAAAGATTGGCCACCAGGTGATAAGTTGGCCAGAGCAAGGAGGCATGAATTAGCTGCATTAGAGAAACTATCATCAATGAAATCACAGATCTTTGGGGTATTTTAGTCATTGTTGGTTTTACTCTGTAATTATTGTATTATTAATCCAGGCCTTTGTTTTGTTTATGATGGAAACAAGTTGTGTGAATTTGATAAAGAGAGGCATATTTACCTGGAGCATCAGCTCGCAGTCTTCTCTGCCAACAAATATCATCTCCCGAGGGAGTCGGTGGCGAATGCCCGCACTGCTCACCAGAAACCATGACGTCACACTCATTATGGCGTTTGGCACTTCAACTTTTCACCATCCTAAACAACAGAAAGAGAAAAATCCCAAATAAGTTTGTAAACAAAAGCAAAATTAAATTATTATAGAATAAGCTAAGTTAGCTGAAAACCATGTGAGATGGAAGACAGATCATTAATCCATTTAAGTTTAGGATCAACTACAGCAGAGTCTCGCTTATCCAACATAAACAGGCCGGCAGAATGTTGGATAAGCAAAAATGTTGGATAATAAAGAGGGATTAAGAAAAAGCCTATTAAATGTCAAATTACATTATGATTTTACAAATTAAGCACCAAATCATCATATTTTACAACAAATCAACAGAAAAAGCAGTTCAATACATGGTAACGTTATTTAGTAATTACTGTATTTACAAATTTAGCACCCAAACACCGCAATGTATTGAAACAGCTGTGGATCTGGGCAAGAGGCAGACTGTGCTGGATAATACAGAACATTGGATGAGCAAAGGTTGGATAAGTGAAACCCTACTGTATATCAAAGATGGCAAACTGTGAGCCATGCATCGCATGAGATCACTGGACCTCACTTTCCTGGGACTCCGGCCTCCAACTCCCAACATATTTTGTTTTAATTAGTATGATTTGGGTAAAATTTGGCCCCAAATGTAGAAAAACCCCAGTACAATGACCACTCCAGGTCTGAAACCTTCTCTCAATTGTTTCTGTTTTCCTCTGTAGTCCATCACAAAATGGAAATCATCACCATTTAAGAGGGGCTACAGAGGAAATAAGACATATTTGGTACAAGTGGGGGAGGGGCGACTGAGTGCTAAATAGTCCCCGATCACTGGTCCCCAAATAAGCAAAGGTAAGCAAAGCATGGCCCTCGAGCTAAATGTGTTCCTCCAAAGCACTTCCTGTGGCTCACAATTCATACACTCTCCAAACATCTCCTATTCTACTACATGCATTGTTATTGTTATTATTATGCGGAAAAATAAAAACATGAAACAATTAAAAACATGAACATCAAGTAACAATATCTAACCAGTTAAACAAGCACAAGATTAGTTTTAAAAGCATGCATATTAAAAGTAATCAATTCCCAATTTTAAAACAGTTAATTTAAAAACCATCTGGTACGATCTCCTGGAAGGGATTGGTCTTTGATGCCATTTTAAACTCAGATAGCATTTCCAGCTGTTGGTAGTTCTTCCGGCAGGTCATTCCACAATTTGGGGGCGGCTGATGAAAATGTCCAAGTATCAGTTGCCTGCTTCTGAGTAACTGAAGGAAATGTCCCCCAGAAGACCTGAGTGTACCAGGCAGACTATACAAGAGAAAGTAACCTGCACTCAAACCTTTACAGGTTACAGCCAATACATTATTCCTCTCCCAGAAACTAACTGGAACCCAATGGAATGGTTTTAATATAATATCTTAATATCTAGCATTTTATTTTACAAACATAACCAAATACCCAGTCACATACAATCAGATTTTGAACAAAGGTATAGACAAAATAAATTAATACATAAAACAGTGGGAAGTCAGTAATTTAAACCCTGTCCCACAAATCACCTTTGAGACTAAGAGAATAAAGTTTGCATTCATTCATAAACTTCGGTGCAGCAAAATGAATCTTCAAAGCTCATGCTACAAACCTCTTTCAATTAGTCTCTAATATACCACAAGACTTCTTTGTATACTCTAAGACTAACCATGCTATTTATTTATTTATGATTCCAAATTTGTGGGTTTTGTCAGCCCACAGAGAGCCCCAAATGAGAAAACTGGCCTCAGAGCCATCCCAGTTGCTCACCACGATCTTCACTAGCCAGCAACTACTCTTTGGCGCTTTCCAAAACCAAGCAATCCTCTCCATTCTCATTTGGAGATACCAAACCTGGGGTCCTCTCTCAATTGGGAACTGGGGACCTTCTCCCCTGCCTGGACTAGAAGCACTCTCAACTGATTGACTGTCAAGGATATATTTAATACTCTTGCTACATCATTTCAGTCAGTATGATAATCAAACCTGAATGTGAGCTACAGCTCACTAGAAACGAATCCAGAGCTGCCAAACTGGAAATTGGAGAAGGATGCTGTCCTTTTAATGATTGTACACAAGAGGAAGTTTCAGCAGGTGCTCCTCATCACAAAATCAGGTAACAAGCAAAACTTTTAAAGGTACAGGAACCCTTTCTACTTTTCTAACAACCTCACATGGAACATACTATGTGTATGTGCGTCTTAAAATGCCTGTTGATTCATAGTAGCCCCATTATATTATTTTATTTTTTGCAAGGAATACTCAGAGGTGATTTCCAAATTTGTGGGTTTTGTCAGCCCACAGAGAGCCCCAAATGAGAAAACTGGCCTCAGAGCCATCCCAGTTGCTCACCACGATCTTCACTAGCCAGCAACTACTCTTTGGCGCTTTCCAAAACCAAGCAATCCTCTCCATTCTCATTTGGAGATACCAAACCTGAGATCTTCTCTCAATTGGGAACTGAACCTAGGACCTTCTCCCCTGCCTGGACTAGAAGCACTCTCAATTGATAGACTGTCAAGGATACATTCAATACTCTTGCTACATCATTTCAGTCAGTATGATAATCAAACCTGAATGTGAGCTACAGCTCACTAGAAACGAGACCAGAGCTGCCAAACTGGAAATTGGAGAAGGATGCTGTCCTTTTAATGATTGTACACAAGAGGAAGTTTCAGCAGGTGCTCCTCATCACAAAATCAGGTAACAAGCAAAACTTTTAAAGGTACAGGAACCCTTTCTACTTTTCTAACAACCTCACATGGAACATACTATGTGTATGTGCGTCTTAAAATGCCTGTTGATTCATAGTAGCCCCATTATATTATTTTATTTTTTGCAAGGAATACTCAGAGGTGATTTTCCTAGTTCCTTCCTCTGAAATATAGCCTACAGCAGGTGGTATTCATTGGTGGTTTCCCATCCAAATACCACCCAGCCCTGCTTAGCTTGCAGGATCTGGTGCCTTTGGGGTATTCAAGCCCTGACTGGAACATGCTGCTAACCCCAAAGTTCAGCTATCAAATGTACCACACAACTTAAAATAACACCCTGTCTTCTGATTAAATAGATCTTTTAAGATACTATCTTTTCCATTCCACACAGAGCATCTAGGAAGTCCAACAGAAAAGCAAATAGATGCAGGGAATGCCATGGATGGAGCATATTTGGATTCCAGTAAGGCCTTCGACAAGGTCCCCCATGACCTTCTGCCAAACAAACTAATCAAATGTGGGCCTAGTTTACCACCAGCAACAATGGATCTTACTAATCAAAAGATTGGCAGTTCTAAGTCCAGGTTGGGGTGAGCACCTGTCCTTCAACCCAGCTTACTGTCCACGTAAACAGCTGTGAGCTGCAAGTAGAGAAATTAGGCACCGCTTAAGCGGGGAGGTATTTTACGGCATCATTAAAAGAAATACCAGAAAACACCAGCAATCAAAGGAAGGAGGAAGTCTGTGATCAAGGCTCTTCGTCAAAGAGGATGGAGCACCAGCATCCCCATGTGACCAAAATTGCGCACAACCCCCAGGATGCCGAAATTGAGAAAAAAATGCCAACATAATACCTCTATCTGTTATCTGTCCTGTCTATTTTATGGTATTGAATGTTCACAGTATATGTATTCTGTGATCTGCTATGAGTCCCCTTTGGGATGAGAAGGGTGTAATATAAATACTGTAAGTAAGTAAATAAATAAATCATAGGAAGGAGGGAGCAAGCTTGTTTTTTGCTGCCCTGGAGACTAAGATGCAAAGCAACGGCTTGAAATCAAAGGAAAAGAGATTCCACCTGAACATGAGGAAGAACTTCCTAACGGCGACAGCTGTTCAGCAGTGGAACTCTCTGCCCCAGAGTGTGGTGGAGGCTCCTCCTTTGGAGACTTTTAAACAGAGGCTGGATGATCACCTGTCAGTGGTGCTTTGAATGCGATTTTCCTGCCAGGGGGTGGGACTGGATGGCCCACGAGGTCTCTTCCAACTCTATGGTTCTATGAAATGCCTGAGCTAACAGAACCTCTATTTGTGATGATATGGTCAAGTTCATTTAACGGTCTCTCGGGTATCCTGACCCTAACTTAGAACATATTCTTGGGAGTTTGCTAAAGCTGCTATTTTGTTTTTTGCTATACACAACACAAAAAAATGGATGAAAACTACTTTCCTCACCTGTTCTCTACACACCTGTAGTAAGACCACTTAACAAATGTCAGCAAGATTTGGCCTCACACCCATTTTCGAGTCTTGTGACATCTAGACTTTGAGTTCTTATCTTTCTTTACACAAGTAGTGCCACATCTTTCTTAAAATTATTGCAGGACAGTATTCTAAAAACAGCACAATAACCATTCAAGTAGGGTTTAGTAAAAATAGGGTAAATACAATAAGGTAAAAACATGTTTCATACAAGTAGCAGTAAAAATTGCTCTCATCTCTTCCTATGGCATATTGCTGACTCGGTAAAGGCCTAGTGCAAAACTCCTAACATGCTGAATTTTGAAAAACACAGCTTTTCCATTTTAAGGTGCATTTTCATAAAGACAGCGCTGATTTGCAAATGAAAATAAACCTTTAAAGAGGTATCAGAATCACGAACACTACTCGGACCTAAGTTTAAATGCCACAAAAGAAAGGATGTTGTTTCCATGGAAATAAACTTCTATTATCTCGGCTACAAATGCAACACAGGAAAACAAAGCAATATCCAAACAGGCATTATATCTGTTTACTAGGTGAAGGTAAAGCATCTGCTGCAAAGGGGATGCAATTTTCCTCTGATCCCAAAATGTCAAGCATTGCATTAAATGAAAACTTCAACTCCGCATTTAGAAATATAGTTATGGTATCCCATCCAGAGAAAAGGGACGAGCAATGTATCATGGGTATGTAAACACAGCAAACGTAGGAGCCCAAGACATAAACAAACTTCGGTGTCTCACTCTTTGCAATGTAGAAATATGGTGATTAAAGAGAATGTCATGGGCTGAAGATAGAATATCTATTTG